GGTGGTGGTGGCGGTGGTGGTGGCGGTGGTGGTGGCGGTGGCGGTGGTGGTGGCGGTGGTGGTGGCGGTGGTGGCGATGGAGGTGGCGATGGAGGTGGCAGTGAAGTAGCGGTGGAAGAAAAGGAGGGCAACAAGGGTGGGAGGATAAAATGAATGAAAATTGTGAGGCTTACGCAACACCCCACGGTAATCAACGGAGCCAGAAACCCGTGCTTGCTTAATAACAAAGAAATTTTAAAAAAAAACAAGTCGATCCGATGGCGGGAAGCGAAAAATGTGATTAATGCACGCTCTCCGAACACAACACCTTTTGTTCCTCGTCTTAACTAATTACCACTTGCTCGCTGTGCGTGCGTTTGGCCAGAAGTAGGTCGACTGTTCATCATCATCATCATCTTCTTCCTCCTCTTTTTCGTCCCCAAGAAAAATGTTTTGGCCAAAACAACCACCTCCTCGTGCAATAAGCCCCCAGGAAAGCCTGTCCTTCAGCTCTGGCCTTTCGAAACCACGCACGCTTGTCAACACGGATGAAGCAACAACCACAACGTGAAGGAGTAATTGTTTAGGCCAGACGAAAATAACAAAGCCAGAATGTTCGAGCATCTGTAGAGACACCCTCACGGTTAGAATCTAATTTGAAACAAGGGAAATTTGAACCTTCCAGGCGTTGTGCTCACATAGAATTACTGCCAGCGATTGAAATATGCTGCGTTGTTGGCAGCTGTCGTACTAGAAGACGGCTACACAACGACTGTAACTCCTAGGACTGTTGTTGCACGAATTCCAGCCGAATTCTCCGCCCGATGGCGCGCTCACAGAACATTTTGGCAGATTCAGGCACACAATAAATGTGCGGACGCTGCCACCAGCTGCAGTTGATCACGCAATTACAATTATAGCGTGAATGTGCGCGATTCACCGCTGCCGTCATCATCATTAGCAGCTGTGTCTATCAACTGCGAGATCAGATCTCGCAAAGTAAGAATTATTAATAGTAATAATAATAAAACGCACACACACACACACAAAAGCACAAGCCTCACCTCTCCCTTGCAGCCTTGTGCGGCGTAACCAAGTCGGTCTTGGAGACTTGAGCGACGTCAAGGTCGCATCGACCTTCAATGCTGCCCAATTGGGTGCCTGCGACGGGGTCGAAGAAGACGATCGTCGCGTTGATCATGGCGACGGCCAGCTCGCGTCCGTCGTTACGGTAAGCCATGCAGGCGACTACAAATTGAACGCGGCAATGATGAGCACAAACGTTGCAAAAAATCAATAACACGGCCGCAATCTTTCGGTGGAAGGGGCTATTCTTGGCGGTTAACTCACGACGTTGGCAAATTTTTAGGAAAAATAAGCCGACTTCAATGCAAGCCGTCGTCTTATAGACACGAAAGTGGCCCAACCACGCTGAACGCCAGGTTTTTCGACATTAACCGGTTACTGGAGACGTTTTACGACTGGCGATCATCGGCCAACGGCCGTTTTAACGGTTAGGTGCTTGCTTGAGATGAAGTTTGCACAAACAGAATAAGAAGAGGGCAAAGTGAGACGCCGGTATCCGGGATTGGTGTCACTACGCACTGCGGAGTTCTCGCTACAAGACACAGTGTGGGTGTCGAAGAATAACACACTCATGAGATCACACACAATTCGAAAGGACCAAACGTGAGTAGAAAAAAGTGGAATCGGTTTAAACCAACCACACCGGAATTCGTATTAATCAGAAACGCAAAACGGTAGTTTTGCTGCGACAAAAAAAGACACCTTTGCCTTGTCTAGACTCGCATTACCCCGGAAAGTAGACATACACACACACACACACACACACGAGTGGCGGATGATTATCGCAACGAAAACATCCGCGAGGAGACAAAATCTGAAGTGTAAAACGCTGTTTGGTCTTAAAAGCGCGTGACGACTTCATTAGTTGTCGACAGCACCGCCAGTACCAACAGTTGGCGCCTAGTGCGTTTGCAAGAAACTAAAACGTAAGCCGCTTCTCATTTTCTGCTTACTATCAACTCCAAAACCCAATTGACACAAAGTTGAAAGAAGCTTGCACATCTGCTGCTTCTTTCTGCCAGTAAGTAGGGTCCACATACGAAAACACGACGGTGTTTAAGAGGTGAGAGGTCACTGGTAGTGGTTTGCTTAATTCGTGGTCAAAATATCGATTCTTCTTGCGCCCTTGAAACGCTAGATCTGCCGGGAGATCGAGATAAGAAGGTTTGCAGAATACACGCTGCCAATTTGCTTAACCAAATTCGTGAAAACCAGACGCGGAAGGTGGGAGAGTAATACATACTTGTTTCGTCACATACGACACGAGATTCTTGAGTTTTAAGGCGTTTACGCATCAACTAACAAGCGTTGTATGTGTGGCGAGCTGCAGACTGCAAAAACTGCTTGAATGTACCAATAATTTGTTTAAAAGAAATGGCGAAAACGAACGTCGATTGTAATCAGTCAAACAATGCTGTCGAGCAGTGGCGTGGAAAAAAGTGATGTAATTTGGTGCCTTGGCGTTTCAGAGACGGGCGTTTCAGGGATGACGCAATGAACCAAACACCACGACTAGCACACCACGAACCTCTCTTCCAACCAGGACACGGGGTCGTGTGCACAAGCGGTCATTTAATGAAGAGCTGATAGCCAAATGATGTCGCAATTAGGAGGAAAAAGCAGCAAAAAGGGCCGTCTACTTTAACATCGTCGATCAAGAACACCAAACTGAAACCACTCAAACTGGTAGGTTTAACGTGGATAAATTTCAGGTAATTCACACCAGTTCTGAAGGCACAAGTTACAAATGGTCTCCATGGTGTGGAAATGCAGCCAATTTTGTACACACAACAACTGCTTCTGCCTGCACTTCTACTCATCCCCAACCAATGTTCATCAAATGAATTTGCGATTACATTTGGTTAAGATAACACCCGACTAAATTACCAGATTATGTCCAGAGTATGGAGGCCGTTATCCAATCCGGTATTTTCTGCTAATGGCACTCCCAAAGACACCACCTACCCACTAATCGAGTACGCAAGACACGCCCTAGCCAGAATAACGCCCTATCGACTAAGGAGGAATACTTACTGTCCAGAGGAACTGTGGTTGTTTCAAGGACCGTGCTTCCAGCTACTGCGTCGGCTCCGGCGCCGGAGGTGGCTGCGGCTTCGCAGTCGGCCAGGCTCCAAGTGCGGAAGGAGCCGTCCCAACTGCCCGTCAGGACTTCAAGCCGGCCGAACTGTTCCAGACCGGGATTGAAGAGGATAGAGGAAACGGGGCCGGTGTGTCCGGTGAGGACTGTAAGAAGCTGCCCAGTGCGGATGGACCAGACGTAGGCGTCGAAGGAGTCTAGGGCCCCGGACGCGACGAGGTCACCGAGTGGATCGACTGCGAGGGCGGACAGCTGCACGCCGCGGCTAGGCACTGACATCGTCCGGAAGTTGCGGTATCTGGCCGAAAGGAAACACATTATACTACTCGCTAACTATCAGTAGACATGCACGCAACTCCGCCTGGAGAGCAGAGTACCTGGTCAAGTCGAAGGCCCTCACGGTCCCGTCTAGGCTCGCCGAGACGACAACCTTCGGCTTCGTAGAAGGGAAGGCCACCTGCGTGACCGGGGCTTGGTGGTCGGAGAAGGTGACCATGGCGCGTCCACTGCCAACATTCCAAATCTTAACTTTGGCGTCACGACCCCCGGTAGCAAGTAGAAGGCCGTCGGGGGAGTAGGATAAACTGGTCATCTCGTTGGCGTGGGATTCAGCTCGCAGATGACAAGACTTCGAACGCCACTCCCACACTGCCAGTTGGCCGTGCTCTTCGGAGCCAATGGCAATCCAATCACCAGCTGGATTTATCGTCACCGAAGTGATTGGATCAACCATCAGTCTTGAATGAAGGCGCAGACAAAAAAAGTTATAAAAAAAAACACCAAGATGATGTATTAACTACAGACACCTGAGAAGCTTATCATGGCCGTATGTGGTCGACTATACTTACCTTGCCTTGTCCATTAGCACGAATTCTGGCAGTTGGTGGAGCATAACCACACCATTTTCGAATGCTGTTACTAGGATCTTTAATTTGCGGTGAAAACTAATAGCGGTAATTGCTTCGGGGACTCGGTGTTCCTGTGCGTTACGATAAAAGAACCTAAGTTGGATTAGAAAAAAAGCGATTCCAGACAAACTTGGAGGTGAGACGGAATGTTGCCTTCGCTGATTCACCTTCAACTGCAGAATCCATATTTTGCAATTCTGTATCACAGGTCCATAGCTTGAGTTCGCCATCAGTGCCCACTGTAAAACAATCAAGCGAGCCATCGCCACAAAACTTGGCGAACACTGAACTCTTATGTCCAGAAAGAGTGTATATAATAAGTTTTTCACATTTCTTTACGGAAAGTATGCGTGCCGTCATGTCATCGCTGCCGGCAATAATGAATCTGGAGTCCGAAGACCATTCGATGTTTTTTATTGTATCTTGAAAACCGTACAGAAATCTGTGTAACTCCAGAGAATTCGCGCTTCTGTTTGGCTCTGGTGCCAGGAAAACCATAATGCAGTGGTTTTTCGAAATTGCTAAATACCTAGGCGAATACACTAACGCACAAGGGCTTACTTGCCATTAGGGCTGAACGCAACAGCCGATAAGGGATGGCGGAATTTGTAGACATTAATCACGTTCCCGGTAACAAGTGAGACAAGTGAGCCATCACCATCTAAATTTTTTCAGACATTAAAATGCAAATAATCCTACTCGTATTGGCAGCGAAAAGGACAGGCAATATAGGAGATATGGCAACATGGGTTAGATTAAATTGGCTATTAACAGATACAGTACGAGATTCATCCCTATGCACTGAAATTAGATAAAAAATTTAACGAACCGAAGTAGATGAAAAATTGTGACTTGGTTCCCGACGGGACTAACAACACACGAACCGTTCTGGGTGAATTCCAGGTTACCAGACTTATATGTTGTTCCAAACAACTTTGCAAACTAGCAAAATTAGCGCAGGCTTAATTTTTACCTTGAAATTTAACTTCATTGAGTCGCCGTGAATTTCAAGACTGACAAAAAATTACTGGAGAACGACTAAAATATAATTGGTCCAAATATTGCACATGATAGTTTCAAAATGTTATCTATGTACACGAACGATTTAAACAAATTAGAATGTAAAAAGATTTTTTTAAGCAGATGGACCTTACCCTTATTTGACTACACATCAAATTATGCAAATCAGCACTAATCAAACGAATTCATTGCCATAAATCACTATGTTATCAGTTTAACTTTATTTGTAATTTGAAAGATGGTATAATTCCATTACAGTTAGAAGCTCAGCATTAACCCATTAAGAAAGTGTAGCCTAACCATAGTGAACTAGTTTGTTCGATATCGCTAACAATCATTCTATGATAGATACCGACATCATTTTTTGAATTTTTTTAATTATTTTGTCAGCTCAGAGTTACCTCCCATTAGACTTATTAATTTGGAATAGTTCAAGTTAATTGTAATCTACAGCTGATGCTTTAACATAATCCCTTTTTTAAGATTTGTTAAAGCTTTTGAACACGCTGTGTACATTAAACAAATTTTTGACTGCCAATCTGGTGCTAAATATATTATACACAATATTCGAAAATTTCAGGTGGGTCTTAATGGTGTATCAGACTCCCTTATTAGAGGCAAACGTCGCAGGTTGGGAAAATTCATTGCATTCGAGAGCCATTTTCAAAATCTAATTAGATTTTCAAACTGATTTTGAAAAATTTTGCTTTTTAGTTAACCACATTGTAAATTACAACCATACAAAACTGATTTCTGACATCTAAGTTAGATTTATGTTGCATTTTATAAGAAGAACGTCACTTGTGATTTAGTAGTTCCGTGTGAAGTAGGGTTTTTTTTAACTATTTCATTTGGTCATTAGAGATAAGTCGTAATTAAGCTTCAACAAAAAAGGAACAAGACCTTACTGGATAATATCAAAGGGGACATAAAATTTTTAATATTTCAGTTTTTCGAAAAAAAATTGTTTTTTTTGTTTTTAATGCTGCCAAATAAAACTGTAAACTGCAACCTAGTAGCCGCAGGAAGATTGCTAAAATCTTCAAAAAAGCCAATTCAAAATTGTGGCAAAACCGGAGAATAAATCAAACTTTTAAGCGAAATCCTAGGATGCAGATACTATATTGGAATTTCCATTTTTATATCATGATAAACTAGCAACACCGCAATCTAAGGCTAAAGTTTGGCTTTTAATTACACTTTTAGTAAACCAGCTTCATAGTTTCTATCCTAATCGATTCATGTACAAAACTAAATTCTACATTCCCATTGGTTCCAACTAGCCAATCAACAGCCAGGCTTAGGGTGGTTATGTCGGACCTATATAAAGCCTTAGCATCCAATAATCCGCGGTCTTGTGGACTTGTTCCGGCCCTCGTGCTTCGTTTACTCCTCGAGGTCTCTTAACTACCCACTCTACTACTACCACCAATATGGTATGTGCTCATTTTTTGTCTGTCTTAATGCCACCTAATTTGTTTAGCGCGAATGTATCAGCATCCACGTCGGTCAAGCCGGTGTTCAGATGGGCAATGCCTGTTGGGAACTCTACTGTCTGGAGCACGGAATCCAGCCAGATGGACAGATGCCGAGTGACAAGACTATCGGAGGCGGCGATGATTCGTTCAACACGTTCTTCAGTGAGACGGGATCCGGCAAGCATGTTCCACGTGCCGTCTTTGTGGACCTCGAGCCGACCGTTGTGGACGAGGTGCGCTGTGGAACGTACCGCCAACTCTTCCACCCCGAACAACTCATCACGGGCAAGGAGGACGCTGCCAACAACTATGCGCGTGGTCACTACACCATCGGCAAGGAGATAGTGGACCTGGTGTTGGATCGCATTCGGAAGCTGGCGGACCAATGCACGGGTCTGCAGGGTTTCCTCATCTTCCACTCGTTCGGTGGTGGTACAGGGTCTGGTTTCACGTCCCTGCTGATGGAGCGCCTGAGCGTGGACTACGGCAAGAAGTCGAAGCTGGAGTTCTCGGTGTACCCAGCTCCGCAGATCTCGACGGCTGTCGTTGAACCCTACAACTCCATCTTGACGACTCACACGACTTTGGAGCACTCGGACTGTGCATTTATGGTTGACAACGAGGCGATTTACGATATTTGCCGGTAAGTCGGAATTGTGGCACACTAATTCCATGCCTTTCTAGACGCAACCTCGACATCGAGCGTCCAACTTACACCAATTTGAATCGTCTGATTGGTCAGATTGTGTCCTCGATTACGGCGTCTCTTCGTTTCGATGGTGCCCTGAATGTTGACCTGACTGAGTTTCAGACCAACTTGGTGCCATATCCTCGTATTCATTTCCCACTGACTACTTATGCTCCAGTGATTTCGGCCGAGAAGGCGTATCACGAGCAGCTGAGCGTCGCCGAGATCACAAACGCTTGCTTTGAACCCGCGAACCAGATGGTGAAGTGTGACCCACGCCACGGCAAGTACATGGCGTGCTGCATGCTGTACCGTGGCGACGTGGTGCCGAAGGACGTGAACGCGGCGATCGCCACGATCAAGACGAAGAGGACCATCCAGTTCGTGGACTGGTGTCCGACGGGCTTCAAGGTGGGCATCAACTACCAGCCACCAACCGTGGTGCCAGGAGGCGACTTGGCGAAGGTGCAGCGTGCGGTGTGCATGTTGAGCAACACGACGGCGATCGCAGAGGCGTGGGCCCGTTTGGACCACAAGTTCGATCTGATGTACGGGAAGCGTGCCTTCGTGCACTGGTACGTGGGTGAGGGAATGGAGGAGGGTGAGTTCGCTGAGGCTCGCGAGGACCTGGCGGCTCTGGAGAAGGACTACGAGGAGGTGGGCATTGACTCAGTCGAAGCCGAGGGAGAAGAGGAGGGCGAGGAGTACTGAGGACGGACTCATCTGACATCACTAATATTAATAAATCACTGCCTTTTCTAATGTCTCACTCCCATTTATCTTTTCACACTCTTTTTTGAGTTCATTCCTTGGTTCTTTTCAATAATCATTAAAAAATGGTAATTTTACTGTCGTTTTCTGCTCTAACTCGGGCGTTATTTTGATGATGGTTGGGTTTTGCGGGTCGAGTTTGTCCCTTCGGTAGTTTTTGTGCGTTCTCTTAGTGGTTTCGCCATGATTTCACCTGAATTCTTAAGCTGGCCTTCTTTGTGTTTCTCCGGGACCTCGGATTCGCTAGTGGGGGTCAGATAGCAATTTGGGTAGTTAGTGTGCTTACGCTGCGATGTGCGCCCTAGTTGTCCGCGATTTCACCAAAGATCTGGCGTATTTTATCTGTTCGCGTCTAAATTTGGGAGCACCGCATTTGGTTGGACAGATCCGGGGCATCAGTTGTGGTAGTCTCATTTGAGCAAACGAAAGCCATGGAGACGAACAGGTCGCGCCAGTATGGGATTTTCACCGGCTCCGGACTTGTTTCGGAATGACCAACTAGTTGCTTTACTTGCATTTTTAAACCGCAATTGCTTCGATGTGGTTAACTCAACTTCGGTGACTTAAAATATGCATGCTTTTCAGCAAATGTATTTAATGTATAAAGACAGAGTGCGACGAACATAATCTTGGAAGTATTGTCCATCGCTTTCTACGACGTTGAGCCATCTCTCAGAACTTTCCATCCCAAGTTCAAGAGGGTCTTCTGGGTCGCGCGACCCACGTGAGGTCGAGCGTTGTCATGCAGCAGCAGTATGACTTGCCTGCTTCCTTGCCAATTAAATGGCCCCTTCTGATCAAATTCTTCACTCATTTTGTTCAATTGTTGGCTGAGTTGTTTCACAACCACCGTATGACTAGTTTCCGGGAGAACTTTCTTCGTGTCGATGTCCTGTTCCGGCGTCGACGTACTGGGTTGCCCGGAATCTACGTTTGGGATTCTCGTAGCAAAAAAATATGCTTTTCACCACCCTTCACAAGTCTTTACAATAAGTCCTTTTATGTTGTCGACGGGCAAAGAGTGAAATGCATGTGCTCATCATACGGCTCCCTAGGTTGTGTTCGGTCAACAAAAGTGGGGGGAACTCAACTTCCAAGTTTTTGAATTTTTCCTATTTGGTGCAAACGCAGTTTGGGTGACTCCTAACTGAGGTCCTGCTAGCTCTTGTTGCGTTTGAGTTGAGTCTTCATCCAGTAGGGCTTGTAATTTCGCATCTTTAAAGCTTCGAGGCTGCTGTTCGGAGTGCAGCTGGTCACTCAGATCGAAATCACCACTTTTAAAACGTTTGTACCAACAACAACACGTTTCATAAGACACACCGTCGACATCACCAAGAACACTGCAAATTAATTGTCATCCCTTAGAGGCATTTTTCCTTAGATGGAATTCGTATGAAAAGCAGTGCCAGCGTATGTGCTGCTTGTCAGTTTCCATCGTAAATCCGGCTATTCTGAGAGGTAAGGCAACTCTAGCAGACCTGCTATTCTATGTTCTGAGACCTTGCTGCCGATCCTTTCGAAAATACGAAATACCGCGAAAAAAATTGTTTTTTTTTTAAATCCACAAATCTCTTAATGATAACCTCTGGAGGCTCAACGAGCACGATGCCTGTTGCTTGAACACCTCCACCAATCACCTCTGCGGAAGATGAGTTACTAACTCGCTCGAACCGACCTTCCGTTGATATGATGGAAAGCTGGTCGATGTATCTGTGTGTACCACCGGTTGCACTACCTTCTGGTTAAAATTGGTTTTTTAAGGGACAAATGATCCGACCTTGAGCCGATCAATAGAATGTGTATCTCTGCCTGGCCCAATCGCGAGGTTTTAAGTGTTGTTGATTGTCAGCTAGCCTCCCCTAAAAACCCACCCTCCACTGTTTCAGGGGATATTGGTCGGATAGCCAGGATATTTGAACTTCTATCCAAAAGTGGCCGTTTGGTGGAAAATGACTTGACGATGTTTCAACCAATAGAGTGTAAATCCGCTTGGACCAATCCTACGCATTCAAATACTGTTGTAAGTTAGCTCTATGCGATTGACATTCAACAATTACCACGGTATATTAATCGATGTGTTTGCTTGTCCCTCCGGGGTGGTTGACCTTCTAGCAGTGATCGACCCGATGGGGGAAGTGGATTGGACCTCGAGTTAACCCCTGGAACACGCACCAATGAAAGGCATTGTTTTAGAAATTTAAATGCATCTCACTTTCTCATTGTTGGTGTTCAAAATGGTACGAAACCTGTGCGCCAAGGTCGGCTTGTGTATGACGACACTAAGTTTGGATGTGTTGCTAGAAGTTTGAACCCTGGCCAATGAAATCTGGTCACGAAGCAACAATTCGGGCCTCAAAGGAGACATTGATTAACGCGGGAAACCATAGGAAACGGTAATTATGTTGAATGGCCTTGTCGCCTCACGAAATTGCCTGGTCAACTTGACAACTGGCATAAGCTGTGGCCATTGCAGTGGGTTGCCATGACAACTCCCCCAAGATAGCTCAAAAATCGATGTAATAGGGTTCATTGGAATCTTTACTGGAGGTGCCAGATAATTTACTCAATCCTCACAGATAAGATCGTCAGAATCGTAGATCTGTCGCAGATTCATGATATGGATGCAACTTCACTGGTATACACATAAACCCGAGTGGCCTTGAACAGCTGACCAATGACATTTCGGCATGAGATCTATGGAGTGAAAGTGAGAAAACTATGCATGAGTCAATATGACATGCAACAATACCCACATTCAAGCCGAAAACATGTCTGCATTCACTTTATATTTGAAAATCGTGGCTCACGACCGATAATTTAATCGTCTACCATCAATAGTGCTTTTACCTAAATCAGAAATAGCTGATTGGTCAGAACTAAGTGCCACTCACGTCGACCTGCGAAATGATTAGGCAAATCTTGTCGTGAGTCACACCATGCATTGCCTTCAGGGTCTTGTTTGGTAATTTTTGTACCCATGTGGTACACACTGAAGCACCAGGAGTCACGATAACTTCTCCGCCGAATCGATTGCCTACAACCAGAGGATGAATCGTGTTTAGGGTGTGATTGGTCAGTCATTTTGGGGGATAAAACGAGCAGATATGGGGAATTTAGCAAAACGATTGAAGGAAATGAAAATTCACTGCAGTTTGAAGGTCTGTGAATTTGCAGGTTAAGTTTGCCTCTGGAGCAACAGGCAACAACTGGCTAAGGTGTCAAAGTTCGCTGGTAGACAGCCGAGTCCTGTGGTTGGTTGGTTGGTTAATTAAGGTACTTCTGTCTCAAGCTAAACTACGATGTGGCATGCGTCGGTGGGAGACGGAAGTTGAATAAAACACAGTACAACTCAGTTTTTCAGGTCGAAATTCACTTGCCAAAGAAAGTAATGGCCATCTTGGAGACGAATGTCAAAACCACAACTACCTCATTGATAGTCCATCTGCCTTTGGAGTCACAGGGTAAGGGTGTAAGGTAATTCTACATAAACACAAGTGGGATGCAGCCACGTTGAGCCATTTCATTGAAGATGAAGGCAAAAAAATGCGTCGATGAACTAGCAAGACTACTTACGACCACAAAACCGTTGTAATTTAGCAGATAAAACGTGTGTTGGTTAGAGGGCTTTGTGATTAAACAGAAAGATTGACTTATTGAAGAAAAATCGCAAACTTCCACGACATTTTCGACAACGACACTTGTATGAGCACTGCTGGCGAGTTCTGAGAGGCTCTAATGACCACGTCCTTCGATTTGTTAACTAATTTTCACAATCCCATTTCGTTCTGATTATACTAGGTTACTAATTACGCAACTGAAAGGGCAATGTTTGTACAACTTCCGTTCCCTTGTAATGTTCAGAGGTCGCAAAAGATTGCTGGAATTCCCTCCGTGTGTGTTTCCGTAGAGTTCAGCAAGCGGATCCAGCGCCCTCGGTGGTGCATTGAAACGTCAGGATCCAACGTGTGCATCCTGCAATTTTCTTCTCACAAAGCAGCTTCATGCACTGCTCACATGTGTCAAATTGCACAGCAACACCGATGACTACGTCGTTCGTAAGGGTGAAGAATACTTGTTCTGGAAATCGGTAGTATTTTAATTTCACCTTGATTCGGCACTGCCACCTTTGTTACTATAGAAACGGCAATTAAACTACGGGATGGTGCCTGTACAACTGAACAGGAATGCAACTTCTTACTGCTAATTATCACAGGAAATTCGAGTTTTGTGTTTGTAAGAAGTCATTCCTGAGTTATCTCGCTATCAGAAACCATTAAGCAATGTTTGTGAATCGTGTTGACGTTATTAGCTGGGATAAACACATGTAGGTACACGTGTGCACGCGTACGTAACCATGGGTGCGTGCTCTCATTTTAAACAAGACGTTATCCGCCAGGATTTAATAGCATCAATGCAGGTCATTCCACTTCATGCTCATAAAATGAGACGGATTGGTGGGTCACTGACTAATCGATTAAATACTCTGCTAACCAACACACACGGCAGGCTATGCATCACAGTTGTCTAACTCAGTCTGATGCCAAAACCTCTGACTCATTAAAAAATCGACAGTAGCTATTAGAAGCGGCTGTGACAACCAACTGCGAGGAAAAATTGCGTCTTTCACAGTCTTTTCCCATCACGAAGTTGGATACGCACGAGCAAATTTGCCAGTAGAATCGGCACGCCACGCCTATTGGTCGACGCGAGCCAATCAAATTGCGCAAGTAGGGGAACTGATATTGGGGGCTTATAAAAGGCCTACGCAAGACCATCAGCTCAGCAAATTTGGGTGTCGCAGTTGTCCTCGTGCTTCGTTTACTCCTCGAGGTCTCTTAACTACCCACTCTACTACTACCACCAATATGGTATGTGCTCATTTTTT